GTGTTTTACTGAGAAAAAACAAGATTTGGTTTTTAAAAAGCCTTTTTCCAAAAGGTACATCTGGAAAAGGGGGGTCGTCTTATAATCAGGGTCGTCTTATATTCGGGCCAATACGGTAACTCTATAAAAACGTGCATTACATCTAAATTAACTCGTAAAAATCAAATATAATTTCGTAAATTGCATAAACAATTATGAACAAAACAGCATCATGTATTTATGCATTGCTTAATCCAAAGAGTTGAAGCGCCATTCACACAAACTGCATTTAAAAACATATGAGATGCAGTGAAAAGGAGTAAACCTCCACAAATTTGTGAAGTGTTTTCTAAAAGTTTGTTAACTCGTAAAAATCAAATATAATTTCGTAAATTGCATAAACAATTATGAACAAAACAGCATCATGTATTTATGCATTGCTTAATACAAAGAGCCGAATCGCCCATAACACAGATTGCCTTTAAAAACATGAGACGCAGTGAAAAGGAATAAACCTCCACAACTTCGTGACGTGTTTTCTAAAAGTTTGAACTGTTTTAACTTTGCGTGGCTTTTTATACATCTCTTTTGTGAGACACGAGTGCAGCAGTCTTATTTGTCCGTCTAAAAAATGCTCTGAATATGCGTTCTGTGTGAATGGCTTGGTTTCGGTTTTAACCCATTCAAGATCTTCTATATTTCTATAATATTTTGAATGCATAACACTGCAGCGGCGCATCTCGTGGGCTAGACTAACAAAACATTCAAATGCAACAACGTCACTTACATCATCACCGCATCTCGCACGCCACCGATGACGCTCCCTGATGCACACCTAACATTCAAATGCAAATGTTTATTTTAAATTCGACATGCATGCAGCACTCATTTCAGCATGTGTTCGTGTTTGTGTGTGCTGTCTGCGTCACTCATAGCACGTGCCTATATCGTGCTCTATATCGACCATTTTTTCTATCGATATCGAAGAAGGTGTACCGTCGATAAATACCGATACCGTTTTATCGCCCAGGCCTAGCATCGACGTCTTTCTGCAATTTGAAAAAATAAAATACCTTCTGATGTTCATTCGTGTTTATTTTGTGCTTTAAGTAAATATGAAAAGATGATCGGTTCACGTGCCGCTTCAACTGAGGCACTACAGTGATCTGTCACAACACGTTAAAGAGCAACAAAACGGTATTTATTGTTTGAATTTCTTAAAAAAATCATATTTAAAAGCTAAGACTTTGTTTCATACCCAAAGTAACCTGCTTTGTCTTGTCTGTCGGTGCGTTGTCAGTTTTCTCTTTGCTCTGCAATGTATTTTTCACTGCGTGAGAACATGATGTGTAGTGTGAGAGCGGCATGGCTTGTCTGACAAAGCAACAGTAACTAAGGGGGCGTTTTTTGCGAAGGGTCAATTAAGTGTCCAGAAATATTACATTCAGTATATTCTTTCTGTAATAAATGCTCTTTTTTAAAAGTATACTGTACTTCATTTTCACAAGGGCTGTCACACCTCTGAAAATGGAAATGGAAAATCATCCTGCTCAGATGTAAGTGTGAAATCATTAAGTTTTGCGTGGGCACATGGCATGATTAGTTTGATAATGAAAGCTGCCCATTAACCTCATTCAAAAGTTTTTAACAAAGGGACCCTGCTTCTCAAAGTTTGTTTAACACGTCACTGACAACACTTCATATTTCAGCAGGGAAAATAAGACCTCGCAGTCAGACGGGTTGTCATAAGATGTCATCCACTGTTGCAACTCTCGAGTTAACTGCTGGGCCCATGGGGGTGCATCTCTCCTTCTCCCTGTGCGTGCGGCATGTGGCGTGTGTATTGTGTTAGTGATGTTTTAATGACTCTAAATGAAGTGGGTGGTGAGGGGAAGATTGCCACTTGCAGTAGATTTCAGCAGATGATTGCTCTTCAGCGGCAGGAGGCTGACACTAGTGCCGAGACCCCGGTGTTTCAGCCATCAGCCTGGAGGACGACTCGCTCCGAGATTTTGACCTATTTTCTGTCCTCCAATCCCCTCTCTGGGTTAATGTCCCCCTTCGTTTAAATGTCCGTTCGATGATTGAATGCCATTTCTGAAGGTCTTTGTAGCTGTGCTTTGATTTGCAAGTTTAAATTGGTGTTTGGATGTAACTTTGTTACTTTCAAACGAGAGGTTTTGGTGCACAGCTGGGTTCAGTTGACCGTAAAGTTTGGTTGGTTTGATTGGTGTCAGCTGCAAAACTCAGGTAGGCACCAAAAATCATGCTGTCACACTAGAGGTTTTGGACACACCTGGGTTCCAGTTGACCATAAAATTTGGTTTGATTTATGTCAGTCGCAAAACTCATGCTTGAGAAAAGGGGGGTGTGGAGTTATACATTTTAAGCAGTAAGATAAAATAAAATAAAATATAACAAAAAAAATAATAAAATAAATTTAAAATATAATAAAATACAAAAATGTAAGCTCAACTAACATTTAAAAATTAAGATAGAATATAATAAAATAAAATAAAAAATTAAGCTAAAATAAATGTTAAACAGTAAGATAAAACAAAACAAAATAAAATATAAAATAAAGAAATATAGAATATAAAAATAAAATAAAATAAATGTGGTCCATTTGTCAGAAAATAAAAGGACAAAATTTACTAATTTACTTAAGTGTATGATTGGAAGTCTCACCTTTCAGTTTAAATAGCCAATTGCTTTAAGTGTTTGATTATTTTAACATAAATTTGAGCTAAACAAAAAGCATGTTTTCAGCAAAAAAGCTATTATTTTCAGATTGTATTAATGTATTTTATTGTCCTTTTCTTTATTACAGTCTCTCCTTATTCAAGTACATAGGAGCTATACTTATGCCTGTTAACTACAAAGAAAACAACAGCCTGGATGTGTTTCCAAGATGGCCACCAAGCAATCTGACTTTCTTGTGTAGTGTAGAGTTACTCACATGTGCTTTGTTTTTTAAGCACGTTTGTACCGTTATTCAGGCAGTCTGAATATCTGATATGAGAGCTAAACTCTATCTTCTCATCAAGCTGTATATGCAGCACTAAAGGTCCTCTGGTTTTTATCCACAGGTTCTTCAGCACCACCATGCAGTTCATGAGATTTCCTACATTGCAAAGGATATCACGGACCACCGAGCCTTTGGTTATGTATGTGGGAAAGAGGGAAACCATCGGTTTGTCGCCATCAAAACAGCTCAGTCTGTAAGTACTCACACCTGAAAATTAGACTGTGTATGTGTGTGTTGTATGTACACTATGCATCCACAAGTATATTTCAGGACTGCAAGTATATTTGCTACTATGACAGATTCTGCTCCTCTGGAAAGGCTTGATCTCTGTGTCTCTGTCTTGAGTCTGTTTTTGCTGCTGTTCTTTGTTGTTGCATTGCTCTAGTCTGCAGTGCTGCAGTTCTGTGGCAGTTGCTCAATCGATTTCCATACCGGGTCGATGAGTATCTGCTGTCCTCTCTCTCCATCCATCGCTGTCTTGCTCTGAACTACAAGTGACCCAGCAAACACATAAAGATAAAGGAATGGCAGCATGCTCCTGCGCTCATGCTCCATCCCACCAAAAAACTGTTTTCACACATATATTTGCTACTATGACAGATTCTGCTCCTCTGGAAAGGCTTGATCTCTGTGTCTCTGTCTTGAGTCTGTTTTTGCTGCTGTTCTTTGTTGTTGCATTGCTCTAGTCTGCAGTGCTGCAGTTCTGTGGCAGTTGCTCAATCGATTTCCATACCGGGTCGATGAGTATCTGCTGTCCTCTCTCTCCATCCATCGCTGTCTTGCTCTGAACTACAAGTGACCCAGCAAACACATAAAGATAAAGGAATGGCAGCATGCTCCTGCGCTCATGCTCCATCCCCCCAAAAAACTGTTTTCACACCCTCTTTTTTTTTTTTTTTGCTTCTCTTCACCTCTTTCCTCTCTTTCTGCACTTAAGTACTACTATGTACTACTTTGGACGACTTTATGTTCCAGGGGTTGATTTTAGTTAAAACAAACAAATAGATTTTGTTTTGTTTTGTTTTGTTTTATTTCTCCTGTTCCTCAATTAATGCTTTATGTTACAGGGGTTGATTTTAATGAAAAGAAACAGATAGATTTTATTTTATTTTATTTTATTTTATTTTATTTTATTTTATTTTATTAAACAAACAAATAGATTTCGTTTCGTTTCATTTCATTTTATTTATACTGTCCCTCAAGTAATGCTTTATGTTACAGGGGTTAATTAAAACAAACAGATTATTTTATTTTATTTTATTATTTTATTTTATTCCTCAATTTTTGGGTTATTTCCACCACAGTCAATAAAGTTACTCCTAATAAAGTCTTTTCTAAAATTTGTACTGTGTTTAATTACAAATCAAGCGGTTATTTTGTCAAATTTGCAAAAAGTGTGAAGATATTATGTAATTGTGTGTGTATCTAGGATACATAAATGGCTTTGTGCCATTTTATTCCAATTATTACAATGTCGTTTTCAACACGAAATACTATTAAAGGTCCCATATTGTACACCTTTCTGGAGTTTTATTTGAGTTTTTAATGTGCTTAAGAATATATATTTGCGGTATAAGTACCAAAAACCATCTCAATATAATTTTACAGCTCCTTTCTCAGGAGCTCTGCTGAGAACAGGTCGATTTTGGCCTGTCTAATTAATATTCATGAGTCTCTCTTCTGATTGGCCTGTTGTTTTCTGAGTGACGCATGGCCAGGCCGACCACAGGTAACTAGGGTCAGCAACGTCACTGCGCTAGCTGGAGGCAGCAAAACAAAGGGGAAACTGGAGGCGGCCCATTCAAACCAGCGCAGATTCGGCTACATGAGCTTAAAATATCATCATATTGCGATGTTTGGTGCCAGAATCGACGTAATACAGCCTCAAATTAGAAATTTGATCGCTTCTTTCTTTCTTTCTTTCTTTCTTTCTTTCTTTCTTTCTTTCTTTCTTTCTTTCTTTCTTTCTTTCTTTCTTTCTTTCATCTGCTCATATTGCTTTTCATTAGCGTGAATCTTCTGGAGTATAGACAGCAGAAAAATACAGAATGCGGATTTTGAGGGCAAGCGTTCGCTTCAAATTTTCATCCATGTATTTATTGAAATATTAGTGACATTTAGGCTGCGCTGGGCAGGAAATGCATTTTTAATGCTAACATGGAGCTTTGATGCTAACTACAAAGAGAGAAGTTTGATCTGACCCAGCCCTTTCAAATGGAAAGCACTTTGTTCTGTCACCTCTCATCTGGCAGATTTAAGAGCAGCCAAAGCAGAGGTTAAGAGGTCCTCGTTATGTCTTTTCCAAGATACTTTTTGCTCTGAATTGCTTGAAGAAATGTGCAGACAATACAGCAGCTCTTCAGAATGGACCCTTACTGAGAAGATCATGTCACTTCTCCCTCTTTGTCTCTATAAATCTGTGTCTCTCTGCCTGTGTTCCCAGGCTGAGCCTGTGATCCTTGACCTCCGTGACCTTTTCCAGTTGATTTATGTGATTAAGCAGAGGGAGGAAATCGAGAAGAAAGCTCAGAAGGACAAGCAGTGCGAACAAGCTGTTTATCAGGTAACACTCACACACAATACCTTCACACTCACATAAACTCAAAACACCAAAGATAATTTACAGTTTCTAATGCTCGGTCATAAATACAACCGCATATACGTCAGCGGGCGAATGAGAGCGGTGTAAAAGAAAACAACAACAAGCTCAAAAGGGAATGATGAAATATGCAATATAAAAGGATGAAACTACAGAAAACAACATATTTCTGTGAGGGCTTATTTATTATTTATCTCAGAGAATAGCGCAATTAGATTTATATGAGGACTGATGTATGGTGAAGTGTTTTTCCTTTTACAGCTGTTGCTTGTCAGATTGAAAATTAATCTTTGGTAAAAAAAAAATAATAATAATCTTGAATCAGCTTTTGATTCAAAATAAAATTAATTCATAAGTGCATATATATATATATATA